GTGTGCGTGATCGTGCAGAGTAAGCATGTAGAAATAGACAGTGTCGCTTGTGGATGGATAGGGAAACAGGTGATCGATGTAGTGATAGAAAAGAGAAGCAAATAAACCAAAGAGCAAGGTGCGCGACAAGAGAGAGAGAAAGAAATAAAAACGGAAACATTCCAATTAAAGCGTTGGCGGAGAGTGACGGCGACGTTATACTAAATTAGCAAGCTGAAATTACATAGTTAAGCAAAAGTTAATACAAGAGAGTGTGAGTGAAGAGGATAGTGTAGCGGATTCTTATCTGGTGTGCGGTCAATACAGCCATGGAGTGATGCCAGGGTCGCGGTAGAGCTGTCCGTCCACGTAGAGCCGGTCCACGGCGATGACAGCTCGGGAGCCTTTCTGGATAAAACTACGTCTGACTGGGAACAGGACCTTGCGTCGTTCCAGGATCTCTTTGGGGAACTGATCGTTCACGCTGAAATCCGTTCCTTTCAGCTCTCTGCCACAACTCTTCACCTGCTCCTTCTGCTTGAAGTGGCCGAATTTGGCTACAATAGGACGTGGTCTTCCTGTCTTCGGAGCCCCTATGTGATGCACTCTATCGAACCCTATGTTTTTCACCGTGTCCTCCGGCAGCTTCAGGTGGATTTTAATGAAGCTTCTCACGGTCGTTTCCGGGTCCACTCCGGCAGACTCTGGAATACCAGAAAACACCAGATTATCTCTCATGCTACGGGCTTGTAAATCCATAACGGTCTCTTTTATTTTTTTATTTTCTATGTTTAATTGGGTCACATTTTCGGTTAGAGATTTGACCGACTCCCGTAGCGTGACGTTTTCCGCAGCAAGTGTTTCCACCTGCCGCTGGCTGAACTCCAGGGATTCTTTTAGAGATTTAAATTCCCGGTGTAAGATCTCCACCAGGGACAGCCTTGCATCAAAACTGGACAATCGCTTATCAATTGACTCCAGGATGTCGATGATATCTTTGCTGGCAGGCGATGTTGTGCCGGGGGAGTCTGCCGGGCGATATCGCCCGTCTCAACTTTGGCCGGGGAAGACGCGCTCTGGGCCTTCTTCATCACTAAATCTTCGAAGCACCGGTCGATGTTTTCTTGGAGAGCGTCTAAACTCTCCTCGTTGTCCTCCAGGGTGTTAGAGATGATAGGACAGATGTTGTTAGTTATATGACAGTTGGTTCGTTTATTTGGCAATACTGAAGCTTGAAAAAACTTTGTTAAACTCTATGCTACCATTCGCTTTTTTTTTTTTTCCCGACAAATCTCCGGCGTCTGACGTCACCTACAACATGGGTCGCTTACCTTTCCCCGTCACTTCCGTCACTTACCTCACCTTCCGTCACTTCCCTCCTGGACGTAGCGTTTTCAGCGGCTGAGGGCATCAGCCACTGGCAGGGAGTGTTGCTCTATTTTCACCTATTAAGCAACACTGGGGTAGGCGGAGGTTTACCCTGGTGCAGGTGTGCCGCAGCAGTCAGTGGAAGAATCCGCGAGTTTCTCTGTGAGTTTCCCATTACGTCATAGCTACTCGGTGCTTGTTGGAAGTTTAGGGGTTTTTTTCGCTGTAAAAAGAAGTTTTCTTCCCACGCACAGCGGACACTAATGTTTTTGTCACTTTTTATGGAATCAAACTCAAAGTAAGGTCAGTACTTCCACGCTTTAAACGCTGCACGCTCATACTCTCTCCCACACTCGATATATGATCCACTGTTGATCTGCACACAGCTGTTGTCACGAACGTTGCACTCGCTTACGTCACTGTCATGAGACATTCTCGCAAAAAAAAAAAAAATCACGGTTTTAGTAACGCAGTAACGCAGCGTTCCTACGGGAAAGTAACTGTAATCTAATTACCGTTTTTGCAATTGTAATCCCTTACTTTACTCGTTACTTGAAAAGAGTAATCGGATTACAGTAACGCATTACAAGTAACGCAGAACAACCTCCAGATCAACACTAGCAAAAACAAGGAGCTGGTGGTAGACTTCCACAGGCACAAACATCCTCCACTGCAACCACTGGACATCCAAGGTATGGACATTGAGACTGTGGACAGCTACAGGTACCTTGGTGTTCATCTGGACAACAAACTGGACTGGACTCATAATTCAGACGCCCTCTACAGGACAGGGCAGAGCAGGCTGTACCTGCTGTGGAGACTCGGGTCGTTTGGAGTGGAGGGCCCACTCCTGAAGACCTTCTATGACTCTGTGGCGGCCTCAGCCATCTTTAACGGTGTGGGCTGCTGGGGCAGCAGCATCTCTGCCGGGGACTGTCATCCCTGTTGGAGAACATCTCCCACCCCATGCAGGAGACTCTGACAGCACTGAGCAGCTCCTGTGTCAGGCTACATTTCACTGTGTGTTATACTTGTATAACTATGCATGTGACAAATAAAGAACCTTGAACCTTCAGTGGGAGACTGCGGCACCCACAGTGTGGGACGGAGAGATTTCACAGGTCTTTCCTCCCCACTGCTGACAGACTCCACAACAAACTGTCAGGGCTCTGTGTGCGGGGAGGTGGAGATGTGGATCCAAGTGCAGGACTCTGAGACGGAAATATAACTGAAAACCACAGCTTTATTGCTGGCACCAACAAAACAGAAACCAAACATGAAAACACTAACTGGAACACACAGGCAGAATCTGAGGGTACGACGTGACACTGGGTTGAGGACAACACAGGGCTAATATACACAGGGTGGTAATCAGGGAATGGGTAACAGAAGGGAGACACAGCTGGGGGAGATCAGGGCTAACGAGACGGGGGAGCTAAGCTGCACACACTAACATAAGACAAAGACTTTCACAATAAGACAGGAAACAAGAAACCACTAAACAAAGATGCAGACACGACAGAGACAGACTAGACACTGAACAGAAACTGCAATACACATGAGAACGCAAAACCTAAGAACTGATCCCTTACCAAGAATAACTGAAACAGATCTATAATGATAATAATAAGAAACTCAAAATGCTGACCCAGAACCGTGACACAAACACACACATCCAAAACACAATGATAACTTTCATCCTGTCTCTGCATGTTATTCTATCTTATCTTATTCTAGTCTATTGTTTTTTCTTTTTTTCTTCATTTTTACTGCTCTTGTACTTTCTACCATGACCAGATAAAGGTTTATCTTATCTTATCTTATAAAGTTAAAAGATTAAAACTAATAAAACAAGTTTTTAAAAGAGCCTTTTTTTATTTGATTCAATTTCATATGATGGATTAGGCAGAAAAAATAGAATTGGCCTGAAAGGTCTGTTGCTTTATCACGTATTCAGGTTGTGTGTCATGTTTTTAAAAAGTAACCAAGTAATAAAGTAACCAATTAGTTTTGAAAATAAGTAATCAGTAATGTAACGGGATTACTTTCTTGAAGAAGTAATCTGTAATAAGTAACTAATTACTGTTTTCAAGTAACTTGACCAACACTACTCACCAGTTAGTTAAACTTCAGGAATGTCTGAAAGACACACAAATGATGATCTCTAATTCCCTGCTTTGTTTGGGACAATACTGAGGTCACTCTACTCTGTAAAAATCTTAGAAACATGGTGTTCATGCTTTTGCAAAAAGTAAATCATCTTTACTCTTAATCAAAGATAAAAATCCAAGTATAAGTTTCATTAATATGTGTGTGTGTGTGTGTGTGTGTGTGTGTGTGTGTGTGTGTGTGTGTGTGTGTGTGTGCTTCTGTGCCGTCTGTACCAGAGAATGTGTGCAAACATGGCAAACAGCCCAGATCCTGTGAGGGTTCCTCAGACATACGAGGGGTGGACATCAGAGGCAGTTAGAACTCCTCACCCAGCAGCTCCATCTGCACTGCCTACTGGTAAAACTCAGCATCAGGAACTGGACTTTGCAAACATAGAGTCAATCCATACTTCATGTATTGGGGTGCTGGTTTCACAGACTAACAGAAGGTAAACTGTAAGAAATCTTGGAGTCATTTTGGACCAGAATAATTTCTTTAATGAGCATATTAAACAAGGACTGCTTTCTTGCATGTGTGAAATATAACTGTTAAATTAAAACAAAAAAAAACTCAGAGTGATACTACAAATTGACTTGATTTGCACTGGTTGCATTTCTTAACATTTAAGCTGGACTATTTTAATTCATTATTATCAAGTTGTCCTTTCAGCTAATCCAAAATGCTGCAGCAAGAGTCCTGACAGGGACTAGAAAGAGAGAGCAGATTTCTCCTGTATTGCTTCCCTTCATTGGCTCCCTGTTAAATCCAGAATTCAAAATCCTGCTCCTGTCATGGTCCTGAGTCTGACGACTCTTCATGCTTTTGTTTATCCTGAGTATGTATTCTGTTATGATTTGCCATTTCTTAGGTTTCTGTTCTGTGCCTGCCCCGGTCCCACTTCTGTCTATGGTGTCACACTGTCTGTGTGTGAATCTGTCTGTTCAGTTCAGTGTCTTGTCTGGTTCTCTGTGTCCGAGTTTCCTGTTTTATTCTGAAGGTCTCTGTCTCATGTGAGTGTGTCCAGTTTCCGTTTCCTCTGTCCCGTCAGCTCTGATTCCTCCCAGCTGTGTTGCCCTCCTGTCTCTCATCCCCTGATTACTGCTGTGTGTATTTAGGCCCTGTGTGTTCTCCTGCTGGTTGTTGGTTCTGCGTCTCTCTGCCTCACACACCGTTTCGTATGTTCTCAGGTTTGTTATTTAGTTTTCCCGGTTTAGGTTTCTTTAGTCATTTGTCATTCCTCACTCCTCACTGCCTGTTCCATCACCCTATTACTTGCAAATAAACGTCACTTGCATCAGTCAACTGCCTGCATTTTGGGTCCTTTTCCCTCCAACACCACACGGCTCGCCTCGACAGCGTGACAGCTCCTCGCATACATCTCATCTTATCTTAATGACCTCGTAGTACCATATCACCCTATTAGAGCACTTGGCTCTCGCTCTGCAGGCCTACTTGTTGTTCCTAGAGTATTTAAAAGTAGAATGGGAGGCAGAGCCTTCAGTTTTCAGGCCCCTCTTCTGTGGAACCAGCTTCCAGTTTGGGGTTAGGGTTAGACCCCAGCCTGATTGTTCGGTAGAATTTCTAATAAAAAAAATCAAATTTTCATCCTGCAGACATTAAACATGTTATTTATATTAAAAAGGGAAATCACGTGATCACTAGTGACTACTGATGATTATACCCACACCACATGGGTGAAGTAATCGTCTGACCTCCCTGAAGTGCACCGTGAACACGTGTCTGTGCTCCCTAAACCCATTTTAAACATTATCCTTTGTGTTGGGGGTGAATTGATTTATACTGTGTACGTTTGCATTTTTGGTCATGGAGAAAATGTTATTGGGAGTATTGGGAGTTATTGGGAGCACTCCAGGTCATTTTCCCATTTGAGTGTTGGTAGCGCGATAGATACATCAGTGTTGGAAATTACTTAGGTTATTCTTCTGGGGTGAGTGATTTTCATTATTTCTTCAGCTAATCTGGAGGGAAGCAGTGGATTAATTGTTTTCTTGGATTGGATTTAATCTTTCCGTCAGCTTCCACCTTGGGAGCACTGTCTCCTTGAGCTGGCCTTTTCTTTTGCAGCAGTCAGTGAAAACAAAGTGTTTTCGCCTTTCGTGTGATTGTGTCGTTTTACATGTTGGTTGCCTTTCAGTCATTTTGGTTTTGGGGAACATTTTCTTCAATCCCATCATCATCATCCATGAAGTTCTACGGTGTAATAGCATTTCTGTTAGGACTACAACCTATTCTCCTGGCAATTCTCGCTCCAGCTTCAAGCTCAGTGCTGTGCAATTGCAAGAGCTTGATTTACACTTTTCACATATACAAGTCTGTACCATCTGTAAGCTCTGGTGAGCGCAAACAACATGTAAATCTCTCGCTCAGCTGGGAGCGCTGTCTCTGTTGTCCTCTGTTTATGCTAGATGAAATCGCTCCCATGGCCACTCTTGCTTCCCCAGGCTTCAAATGCATCTTTTAACTTGTGCACAAGGATTCAAGAATCTCCAAGCTAAAGCCAAATTCAGTTGTCTCTCAATGTCAGCTGAAAATAACAGGATGTCAAAAAAATAAATGAATCTGAAATCCTCTGATTGTCGGCAGTCGGCACCTGTCTGCACCTCTCGTTCTCCCCTTTGGCTGAATGGGGGGATAAAAGCTTAAGTGACCTTCTTCTGATATGTTAAAAAAATATATTAATAGCCTTAAATGCTTTGCAATCTTCTTGGATTGACACAGAGATGGCGATCCACTGCTTCCACAGCTTCCTTAAGTAAGCCAAGAAGCGCTCGCAGCATAAATACTAACATTCAAGTTCATCTTCCATCAACTGCATCTCAACACTGCATGCAGAAGGTGAGGAGATATTTCTCACCTTAGGCAGTAGACCATATGTTCTGTGCAACCAACCTATATGGAGGCGGAGGAGGGGGGGGGGTCATCTCAAGTCATTTTATTCACCAAAAAACCCCAAAACAAAAACGGCATGTATATGCAACCATTTGCTCATAGTTCACTCTTGGGGAAATCTGCTCCAAAGCTGCTCCATCAAACATTGATCTCTAGTTGCGCTGCAATAGCTTATCAGCATTAGGGTGTTTAGGTTTTCATTTCCAAATGATATTCATCTGTGTAAGTTGTAGTAGAAGTGTACTTTCAGATTTCAGCTAAGGGGCTCAGTGACTTATTGGCTGGGCCTGGATGGCGAGGCTCATCCATACCCCAACACTGCTTCAGCAAGGCGGTGCATTCAGCGTGGCTTGCACATATCTGCATGAGTATGGAAGTCTATTCAGTCCACCATATTGAGTCTTTTATTTTTTATCCGTTTTTATTCCATAGTTAATTAATCCTCCTTCCTAGCCTTTTGACAACCACTACGCTTGGTGCCATCAGACACCAGCAAAGAGAAAAGCAAGCTAGTGACTCATACTCACGCTCCCTGTCTGAAGCTTCCCCAGCCTCCTCTCATAGCATCAGTTTCTCTTATTAAGCCTTTTGCATTGTATAGCTATCAGTCATGTATTGATTGTTATCCTGTGTAAGGACAGCAGAACTATTTCCATGATTATTCTGAGCAGATTATTAAGAAACCGTGATTTGGCTAAAAGGGGGATTTTATGTCTTTAAGAGATTATTTGGGGATATTACAATAAAATGATGTTAGAAAACTTATCCTACAATGCTGCTATACATGGTTGGGATTAGGGGAAAGTGATGGCGATGACTCAGCATTAGACAGTGTGACTGATGTAACACAGGAATGTAAAAATCCACCAGTGTGACTTCTTACTTACTGACTTAGGAACAAACTGTATTAACAATGAACAGCATATTAAGCGCTGCATGCATTAGCAATAACATTTGGTACAGATGTAAAATAACAACAGAGCCTCGTCCAGTAAAAACTCAGTTTGAAGCATTGCAGTGTTTTACGGGTAGAAAAGCAAAACGATGCATTCCTGCCAACATCTTAGACCTAAGCAGCAGCTACCATTCAAACCAAGTCAAAGGTTCTGAGTATATCAACAACAAAATAATAAAAAAACAGCAGTTTTTAGCACGTGACGTGTATGTTTGATCTTAACTCTCGAGCTGTAGATAAAAATGTACACGACAGCGGCCACATGTTTCCTGTAAAATGTGGTGGAGCAGAATCGTTACATAAGAGCTGATAACGGGGTTACAGTGAGGACAGTTTACAACACTGCTGATAACTTTGGTGATCGGTCATCCATCCCTGCTGCTCTGGCCTTTTCATCTCAGCCTATCAGCACAAGAGACATTGAGAGTAAACCCGAGAAACACAAACACAAGTATTTTTACATTCCTGTCAAAACGATTCAAAGAAAAAACAAAAAAACATCAACAAAGAATTAAATACAATCAAATTTCAATTCCCTGAAATGAAACAAGACATCAAACAGTATAATAATCATCTAGACACGTGAGACAAGCACAGAGACAGTAGCTGGAAACAACAGTTAGCAGTTCTTTAGAGCCTCGGGTTTATGCTGTGTTCACACTGTGAGCAACAAGAGAAGCACTTTGTGATTCAAACAGGAGACGCAGGTGAAAGAGCTGGATTCTGTCTCTAATTCGCCACCTGGCAGGTTTAGCAGAACGCTTGACCATCAGCCTCTCTGGTATTTCATCACACGTTCAGTTGGTAAAGTGACAAATGCTCTAACATCACCTGTAGACTCAGTAAGCAACCTGCCCTCAGTGTGAACACGCAGACCTCCACCATGTTGACTCTATTATTACATTTACACCTGAAGTCCTGCCAACTACAGTTTCAAGGACACATGTGGCATGTCAGCCACATGTGTCCCAGTAAGGCATGGTTTATACTGAGAGCAGTGCACAAACATAATACCTCCTGCAGACATTTTACAAAGATCCTTGTCATTATTAAAAGCGAATCCCCGTGTTTCCCACCCCCGGACCCACACCCACCTATCCATAAAGGAGAGCATTAGTTTCAAGCCACCCATAAGAAAAAGTTCCGACTGGCCGAGATCACAGGCCTGACACCACCGCAGAAATGAGCAGAGCCAAGCCTGAGAGGAGGTGGGCATGGGGACAGGGCAGTGTGGAGGAGGCATCCTTCTGCACCATCATACCAGTCCCTACAACACAGAGAGCACATGGACAGCTCAGCGTACATGTGGCTATAGCTCTGACTTGAAACAGCATTACTATCACAGCCTAGACGACAACAAGAAACGTGCACAAATAAAAACATCTCCTGGCTTGACCTTCATTTATAACCAGCATGCACTAAACGGCTAACATTTAAAGCCATAAATGTTTATGATCAACATTATAAATATCCTTATCAAACCATATCTCGGAGATAACATGGCCTTGGATAAATGCAGGTTCCAGGGGTCGTTTTTCTTCTGCATAACTATTTATCGATGAGAGCGTACGTGCATGGAATCAAAGTGCTGCAAACAGGTAAAAAGGTGAATAGAGTTTGTATAACGGCTTTTCACTGGTCCCTGAGAGTGCACAGTAAACATGTTTCTATACACAGTCCCCAAAGTTAACAGGCTTCAAATGAGCTGGACAGCTGACCAATAACCACATTCAGGTGAGGCCTGCTCATTTTTTCACTGTCATCTTGAATATAAGTGAAGGACCCAATCACGAGGCTGGAAAAGCTACGAAAACTTTCCAAATCGACCTCAACCTTAAAAAAAGCAGAGCAGCGTGAAAAGGCCTGAAAGACCACAGAGGACTGAAGTGACAGCTAAAACAAGTCTTTGAGGAGGGGAGTGTATCACTGAGAGGCTCTGCAATCACTGCCTTCACGAATGGAAATACAGGGGCACAAAATCCATGTGGCTGGTTTCCCTCAAGAAGACTAGAGCAGAGCTGACAGAGTCTGTACAGTTTAGAAACCTTTAGACTGCGTGGAGACGGTGCTGCAGCAGAGGCCTGTGTTGGAAACCACGAAGCAAATCTGGCCTAATGTAACACAGCCAGGGAGCAAAAAGTGTTTTCCTTTCATTATTTGCACTATTTTTTAACTAATGAACTATTAAACCGGAGAAATATATGGTTTGTGCTTCCTGATTTGTCACCTGAATCCCGGGACACGATAATCTCGTGTGCTGGCCCGTCCCCGCCCTCGCCCCATGACCAAATCTCCAACACAATGTAAGCGTTGTCTTTGGGCAGCGGCAGGCTCACTGACGTCTTCGTCTTGTCCAGAAACTTCAAAGCTGCCTGGTCCTCGTGCTTGTACAGAACCTGGAGACAGAACAAAGTCTTTTTACAGTGTTTATCTGTTGATTTGATAAAGTTATCTTTGGGTGATTATAACATGACACAAGCTTATAAACAAGATCTTTGACTTTGTTTTACAGCCAGTTTATTGGTTCACATAATTCCACGATGAGGTGAGCTGTTTCACGATGAACCTTACCGAGCATGAGCGCTGCAGCAGAAAGAAAGCAGTTAATCCAACACACCTGTATGTGCTCAGAATACAGACATGACAATCCTCGAGTCCCTGAATGCTGGAGGAAAAAGAAGGATTTTCCCCAGCTGTGAGCTCTGATCGCAGGCTTGTTCTTTTCTTATGATCGACTGTTACAAACTTTCTTTTTAGTCACAAGTACTGTAAACCATGCTACATGCAAGTGGCTTTAAGTTCCGACCGTAAATACAGATTCAAATGTATAAAGCGTATCAACCACCTCCTGGCCACAGAGTGACAGAACACGTTGGACCATGACAAATGAACAAAAGCTGCAGTTTGAAATAAGCACAGATCAAATGTTCTTGGGCCACGTTGGAGACATGCTCAGACTAATGGGCTTTCCTGCACTTGGTCAAGCAGCCAGTGTAGACCATCCTGCTGACTGGTATCCCAATCCCACTACAAGTCTTTTATTATTGTTAATAAGCATGCAGGTGGGTGACAGGTATCAACGTGTACTCCATATGAATATTAGGAGAACATAACAACGTTCTCATTTAAGATTTTCCAGGGGAAACTCCAAAATGTGAGAAGCTGATGATGCTTCAGCATGCATGCACAGAGAGTGCTCAGGACTGAATAAGACCAAACAAACTGATCAGGAAGGCTGGCTCTGTGATTGGCTGCACGCTGCAAACACCTGCAGGTGTGACGCTGCTGGTACAGGGTGGTGAAAGTGTATCACAGCTAATCTTGACCACCATCTGCATCACCGGACAGGCAGCAGCTTACTTCTGTAACAGCCTGGCCCAGCTCTTATGCATTAAGACTATGCAACGCGCTTGCCTAGCAAACACTCGGATTATTTCTCCACACGTGGGATCAATAACATAAATCGTATTTAGATCCAGGACTCACTTTGTAGCCCAGTATGGCTGACTCGTTGTGCATGGCTGTCACTTGGTCCCATCTCACCGTGACCCGCGAGCCGTGAGCCTTCCACGACACGCTGCCCGGAGGACGATTGGGAGCTGAGGAGGAAAAAGCACATTTCAAATGAATCGAGCTCATCCCTTTCAGTAGAAATGATGCATCCTGAGTAACAGCAGCCATTTTCATGTGTGTCACTGTGAGGGTATTGACCCTGTATAACAAAGTCACACCAGACAGAGCGGTGATTAGAAGAGCACAGACTGCTGGACGCAGCTTTACAGCTGCTCCATGAATGCAGCTTCCAAAGGGAACATTTGTATGTGAAGTGATTAAAGCTTCAGATCTGCTTTAACTTTAGTAAACTCTCCTATAAAAGCACGTGGTTCACTCAGTCAGCAGAAGCAAAGCAGGATGGTTTCCTGTCAGGCATCACTGTGCTGGGGCCTGCTCGCCTCCAGGACAGAAACACTGAATTAATCTGATTTTAATGAGCTGTCATTCAAAATAAGTCCTGAGTCGCTTACATGTAATGAATATTGAAGATATAAAATATGACATTTATGATTAAATTACAAGAAATAAATGTGTTCATGACATTCTCATTCTCTGAGATGTATTATCGTGAAGAGCAAACACCAACGAGCAGCCAGCTGGATGTTACACCTGCATAATTTAAACGCAGTCGTATATGGTCTGAAAGGTTCGTGTGTCCTTTGCAGCGGTGTGAGAGCAGACGTCTCTGTGAGTGAGTTGTCTTTGCTTTATGTTACGTGCTCTGTGCTGTCATCTTTCTAACAGAGAGCGCTGCACCCGTACGTGGTTTCCTGGTGGTGACGGCGGTGCGTGGCGAGGGCGGTCCTGTGCCGGCACTGTTGTATGCCAGAACAGCGACGTGGTATCGAGTGCTGGGTCGAAGTCCGGACACCCTGGCTGTCGGCTCCAGGCCCGCCGTCCTCACGCGGTCCGCTGCTGCTTCTCTTTCGTGCTGCCGCCAGTACCGGATCTGTTAACGCACAATGACACATCACTACAGACCTTTCACTCGTCTTTCTTCAGCTTATATATTTATACTCTTTTTAAAGCGTCCTTGGGTTTCTTCAAAGGTATTATTATTATTAATGTTGTCTTATAAACTCCATGTGAACAGTACTCAGAGCCTTCACTTTCAGACACACATGCTGTCCACAGCACATGACAAAGTTTGAAATAACACAAGGTTTTACATGATACAAAGCCATCAGACTGCTGTCATTTTCTATTATTTCCTCCACATATATGTTCCTGCTGTTTTTAAGCTCGTAGTTTGATATAAATTGATGATACATGGCTGCACCCTGTGGATGAGCATTCACTCTTTAATGAGCACACATACTGTGAGTATGCATGCATTGTGCTACTGCTCCAGCTATCTGTGTGCTATCAATATGTCAGGTTATTTCGCTTCCTTTCCTTTGACATTTTCCTGCGTCTGTTATATTCTGAACATTATTTACTGAAACGTTTGCCTTACTGTGGTCATTTAGGCCGTGCGTGTCCCATACACACAGTTATCACCTAAGAGACCAGCTTTTTGTGACTGCACGATATGTTTTCTCAGTTGTCCACATATTTGTGATAGTTACAGGCTATGCTGCTTTACAGGGATGAAGTCACTGAGCTCGTCACCTCGTATCCTCTCAGGATGCCATTGGTGCTGAGCTGCTGCACAGGCTCCCAGGAAACCTGGATCTCAAAGGCGGACAGTGCCGTGGCATTGATGCTGGAAGGCCCCACGGTTGGCTCTGTGAGGAGTCAGCCAGAGTGTAAAAGGTTAGCAATGTGCAGTATGTGCACTGTCTCACATAATTATATACTCTTACAGTGTTGTCCACTTTTCTGCTGCAGCTTTGCTGACCATGTTCTTACTGTGCTTGATTAACCAGCCCATATATATCAGGCTTTTCATTACATGGACTACTACCATCAGTCAAGTTGTAAGTGAGCTGACTGTGACCCTTTCTAAAACTATGGCTGCCCTCTAGTGGTTACAGAAAAGACTGCAGGTGGAGTTACATTAGAAATCTTCTTGTGATCTTCAGAAACACTGGAAACCTGCCCCGTGCTCTCACAGCCTTCCATCGTGCATGGATCTGAAATGTTGTTTGTCTCATGTCTCTAAGTATAAGAATGGTGTATGGACCTGCAAGTGAAGTAGGAGCTGACTGTACACACCACTGTGTCTTGTCTTAATTAAGTACACAGATGTGTAAACTTGCTAACGACATATAGAACCAATTGAGCTTATATAGATTATGTATTGTAGACGTGCAGGTTGGGAGCTTCAGCTAATGTCCTCATTAAACATTCAGGTGAGACTTCCAGTATCTAGAGTTTATTCAGAAACACTGAGTGTCAGCTCTGCAAACAGAGGCAGGACCGCGGCTGGAACAAGACTGCAGTAATAATGAGAAAGTCTTTGCAGCTGAGTTAAAGAGGCATGGGTGCACTCCCACAGTTTGAGACCTCTTTAGGCTAGACTTCAGTCAGCCATGAACAGCTACAGAGGCTGTTCATGGCGGTGGTTTCAGTTCCAGCTCTGTACACTCGAGTTAGCGCGTCTGCGTTTCTGTGTTCCTGCTCCACAAACTCAGACATGAGGAGGAGAATGGATGGATGCTTTCTTGATACCAGGTTCTTTCTGTTTCTTGTCCTCTGCGTCTCCTGTGCAAAGCAGTCTTGTCTCTGTGTTCTTTTACCTGTCTGAGTTATCACCTGGTGTATTTCACCTCCCTAACTACCTCGTGTGTGTTTTAAGTGCAACATGCCAAGATGCTGCTGCTGGTAAACTGGACGTTCACTTCAGAGTGCTCTGGTAGAGTAGAAACCAGTACATTCAGCTTTGAATACCAACCTGCTGTTGACTGAATGTCACACAGTATCTGAGCAGTGTTCAAACCTCATATCTACAGCTGGGATGTGGTGGGATGGTGGACTGGTTCCATGATAGAAGCAGATTACACTGGAAACAGGAACCGTGGCACGCTTCTCATGTGGTCCCACAAACGTGTTTAGTAAGAAACAGTTTCTTGGTTCATTCATGTCATTTAAACAGAACGCTGTGCAGGTGAGCTCAGAGTCACTGAGTCAGTTCAACGTTTACAGTGAACCAGTCGACATCTTCAAGTGCACAAGCACATCCACCACAAACTACTTCTGTACAAAGCAGTGATGCGATCAGAGCAGCCATGTAAAGTAGCAGTTCGGACGGACACTGGGACATCTGCCACAATGATCACACCGTGGTGGAAGTAGCTGAACGTCAGCGGTACTCACCTTCCTCTGCAGAGTGCACCACAGCCACCTGGCTAAACGGGCCTTCTCCTTTGCGGTTATAAGCTTTGATCTTCACTTCAAAGGGAGTGTACGCTGCCAGACTGCTGTTGTAGTAAACATGTCGAGAGGACTCTACACGTGGAACTCGCACCTCTGTCCATGATGATGTGTCCTTCTTTCTGAACCCCAAGATGTACCCGAAGCCGTCACCGTTCTGGTATTCTCTGGCCATGGGCTGGAGACAAAATCGACATCCTCACACACCAAGTCTGAACCCAGCTGTCCCAGTAACACCATCATGATCACAGTGATACCACAGTATCTCCAGTACTGATCATGGTTAACTGCTCGTCTTTCTGTCTTTCTGTCTAATTGAATCTCTGTAAGTGTCTTATATTGTTTCCTACTTGTAATCGGAATACCACCGTTTTGGGTCTGGCCCAAGAGTGGACGATTAACACCCCGGTCTCATTAACACTGCCTCTAAAATCACAGTATCTGTTTGTACTGGAACACCCGACAATAACCTGGCCCATAACACTAGAATGAAACAGTAACAACTAACCTGATACTAGATTACATTTTATGAATGAAACGAAAAGAAAATGACTATTTGTTAACGAATGAATGAAAAACTTTGAAAACATATGAACCTAAATTCAGCTCTGTTTGGAAAATAGAGAAAACCCATTTGGCCTTTCCACTCACCGTCCATGTAACAATGAGCTCATCACGGTCTCCTCCTCCACCTCCCAGTCCACTCGGGGCCACAGTGGGAGCTGAGGGCCAACAGGACAAAGACACAAGATGAACCACGAGTGTGGATCAATGTACCAAAGTGCCTTTGAAAACTGGAAAGTACTGCTTTCAAGAGACAGTGACACACCAAATCTTTTTTAGCATTTATATACTCTCAGAAAAAATAGAGTACAGCATCAAATCAATGAAACTTCCTGCTCAGGAGAGTGGGTTGTTAATCAGTTTCATATGCGTCAGTGTTAATGAAATGAATGGTGCTGTACACGGGCATATATACTAGAGATGGCACGATACCACTTTTTTATGTCCGATACCGATACCGATATCATAAATTTGGATATCTGCCGATACCGATATGAATCCGATATAGTGTTTTTTAATCAACAAAACTGTTTTTTAAATATCTTGCTGCATTTT